ATTAAATTATTTATATAACAATTAGTTTTTCTTTTTTTTGTATTATTCATTAGTTTTATAGTGAACACGTCTTCATCGGAATATATTAAATCTATCTTTCTACGTTAAATATATTTATAAGTAATTTTAAGCTTTATTAATCGAATAATTCACGATCATTTAGTTGATCTCCACGTTCGCCAGCCTAGATGTTTGTAACAGTTGCGTAATCAAACGCGCCAATCCCACGCTCCGATCGGGGTCACTTGTGTACCAGCCACCTGTTGTCGTAAACAAAGCAAGTGTCTGTAATCGTGTTTAAAATCCATTGTGTACAAAGACCTATCAATTAATAGAAAATTGTGTTTTTAATTAATCGAATCAATAAGAATACGTCACCGATCTTACATTAAATCGCAATTCCTAACACTGGTGCATAAAATCATTTTCAATTTTGATAACTTTCTTTGGCCTGTTCGCGCAAAATTATTTCTCTATTCCGTGTTAATGTATTTTATCAAAATTGTAATTGAAAAGGGGCTTCGGCAAATAATTATAATTAGTGAAGGAAGTCTTGAGATAGGTAATGTACTATATGTACGTTTTATTTTTACCATCACTCTTTTGTGTCTCCGTTATTTTTTTAACGTGCGTGGTCACAGAGAGCCGCAGGCATGTCGAATGTTAAAAACATCGTGTACTCCAACAGTGGAAATTGGCTTTGAAATCATGTCGCCTTTTTCATATTACTGAATGACGGGTATTTTTTTTTTTTAGGTTTATAAATCCGTACAATTTAAACGCATAAAATTTAACATAATTTATAAAACGGCTCGTATAATTTTTTACACGGTATGTGTAAAAGTAATGCTTATTGCTACTAAGCTCACTCCATGGAGGCTATATAATTAGTATACTGTTAGTATTTTGAACACTGTTAAGCCAATCATCAATTGGGATCATACAGGTAATCTCAATTAACTTGTATATAAATTAAACAAACATTATCAATTAATTTATAAGTTAGACCTACATGGTTACTCTTTTTTAGTTTTTTTTTTAGAGACGCATAACTTCTGATAATGACTTAATAATTACAGCTCTTCCAATTAAATGTATACCCGTGTTTTCAATCTTGGACATTTTCTTCTGCTTCATATATGCTTTGAATAAAACTTCGACCTCTTAATACGCTGTACTTAATTAAATTATGTTAGTTTGAGTTGTCTCTCTTTGTTTTCGGTAAATATACCAGACATGCACGTGTGCCTAGCTATGTTTATAAAAAAAAAAACATGAATCAAAGAAGGGCACATTGCTCATGTATATAAAGGTTATTTTTTTAAAAAATTATACCATGAGTGGATCTAGAGGGGGGGGGGGGTACCCCCTTGGAATTTACCAGGTTAAAAATGTACATACTTAAACAAGGAAAAATTACCATTGACCCCCTTGGAAAACGCAGACCCCCCTGGACTATATGTGTAAAATGGGTATGAAAAGTTAAAGATTTGAGGCAAAAGAAGAAAAGAAGTCACTACCTCCCCCCCCCCCCCCTTACGAAATAGGTTTTTAACGTTGGGGGGAGTGTTACTTTACGTTTTTTTTTTTTTTTTTTTTTTTTTTTGTGCTTGTCAAGAAATTTCCGGCATATGATTTTTTTTTGACTGAGGTGGACCCCCCCTGGAAAAAATTTCTGGATCTGCGCCTGTATACAATTCATTATGTAATTTGTTTGCATTGTTTATATTGTTATATCAAATTAACATGTGTTTAATAACTCTCTCACTCTCTCTTTCTCTCTCTCTCCTACAAGTTACATAGGGTTTTTGGACACGTTATTTGTACACGTAAATGCATTCAATGTGATCTGGAATTTTACGTCTGATGTTTTGAATTTTTACGGACATATTCAATTCGTAAAAGATCACCGTATAAAAATTTAAATCACCTTTTTTGACCCAAATTCGTAAAAATATACAGCAGTAAAAATTACCCATTATATGATATTTTATTTCACTCTATCTCATAGTTTGTTTTAATCAATCGTATTTGCTTTTTACACTTTATTAATTTCAAGGTTTATGCCTGATGAAAGCAGGTGCTTTGATCCTTTTCATGCCAGCACCTACCCCGACACAAGACCTTGATTTATCCGGTCTCATCCATAGGATCGGTCTCCACGCATCATTTCACAAGTCTCCAAATTTCAAATAAAACATTCTCATTGAAACTTTGATGCTTCCACATGAAAATGGCCGGGCATATATTGTTTGTCATGTACGTCTTCCATTTTCCGTCTGTCCCTCTTCCCCGCTTTGCGTTTACCTCAGTTTAAAGCTCAATTTCAAAGAAACTATTCAATTTTTTTTATATTAAACGTCCTATGCTGATAAACATTGATGAGAGCTATTTTCCTGCATCAACATATTTTAACTTTGACCTTTCCTTTGAACTTAATATCACCTTTTATGAATTCTGTCTAAAGAGACCATTCAAGATAGTATCATCAAACTTCATGTGCCGATATGTACTGATATGTGCTGATACATACTGTAGGCTAGCTACACGTTTGTAACTGCATCAACATTTTGTTTTACCTTTCCTTTGACCTTAACCTAACTTTTCTCAGGTTAGTGTTTAACTCAGAAACATACCATTCAAGACTATAAGTATTCTTTTACTTCTTTTTTACTTTGACCTCTTTTTTTTTTACTTTGACCTCTCCTTTCACCTTGATCTTACCTTACCTAATTCATTGAGTATTAAGCTCAGTTTTGAAGAAAGCATTTATATTTTTACTCAACTTCATATGCTGATACACTGTACACACTTATGAGAGCTATCCAAACCTTAGTGTATAACAGATGCTCTAACTACTGTGCCAAACGGGCGACCTTCAGTTTTGAAGAATCCATTCAAGACATTTTTATCAAACTTTAGTATACTGATACAGTTTGATCTTGCACTTTCCTGTGACCTTGACCTCACTTGTCTTTAATTTGCAATTTGCATAGTATTAAAGAAACCATTTGAGATATTTTATTGTAAGCTTATGCCTATATGCATTATCTGAACGGAATTTCCATTTTTAAGATTTCAATTTTTAAGAAACTATTCAAGATATTCTCAACAAACGTCATACACTCGTATTTCTAAATAAATCATCATGTAAATCATAGTTTTGAACCTAATAAATTCTTTCGATTTGATATATGTTCAATAAAAATTTGACTGAACATATCCAGTCTTTTGGACGAGTCATTGTTACTGACAGAGAAATTTTAAATTCTCAACCGTATTTGTACCAGTGAAACATTGCTCATATAATGCAGGGTGGGGCATGACCTTGTCTCAAGTTCTAGATCACTTAAGATAAGATGTTTTGGTTGGATATGAACTAAAAGAATATCTAAAAAAAAACATACGTGAACTTTTCCACTCGGTAACACGCAGAGTATGTATTTTTATAACAGAGTTTGTCTTTGCTTGTTGCAAGGTCATTTAGAAAGTTCAAGGTCATGCACATAACATTCTTTTACAGTCTTTTTCCTGGCGAAACATTGTAAGTTGCTTCCTCAACAAGCCTTTGGGTTGCTTACTTAAATAATTTAAGAATGGTTTGACCTAGACTCAAGGTTACGTCTTCCCTTCCGTAGCTCCAACGGAAGACCTATTCGTTGCTTTGCAACGAGCTCGGCTCTAGTTTCAGTATATTTTCATATAAATCCCTTGTCAAATAAAACACATAATTCGTGAATATTTTTTAAACTTGTGTTTAAAATCTTCTTAAAACCAGTCACAACTGGGGAGAACATCTTCTTTAATCATATTTATAAAAGAAATTGAAACGAAATGGTCAAATTTAAAAGAAAATATATATTTTTTTAATTTTGGCCAATCCTCATCAAAATTAAACCGATCCTAACCATGAGTGTAAAGTTATTGAAAATAAATACATGTAACATTTCCCCTAGAATACCAGTCTGATAAATACACGAAGAGGCAATAAATTATCATTTCATTCATTTTGTTTTAATTTTGATCGGGATCAATTTCATTTTGATCGGGTTAGGTCTAAATATTAATTTTTTTTCTCTATAGGGGGGCCTATATTTCTTTAAAATTTCTTAATTTCTTAATTTCGTTACAATTTCTTTTTAAAATATGATTGACAGACATGTTGTCCTAAGTTCTGATTAGTTTTGTGGTGTTTTAACCATAGGTTTTAAAAAAATCACAAATAATGTGTTTTATATTCAGATATTATTTTTTATAAAAAAAAATTAAAAAGTCTAACCAGCCTTTCTTTACATAATTTATTAGATATACATATGATGCATATATTATAAGAATTCCCGAAATGCTCGATATTTTCTACGAAGAGCTTGACACATTATTGAAATTTAGCTATGCTGAAATTTCAAAACACGACAACGCTGTTAAAGAACAAGGTAGGAAATCTCATAAAACACGTAAATAATCAAGCTATTCTACCCCCCACCCCGGCATCATTTACATTCAGAGGAAAAAACAGGAGGGAACCATATCTAAATTTCTAGTTTGTATAATTTTTTCCCGATATATACCCGCCCCTGCTTTCTCATAAAAATTGTGATCGGTGTGTCGATCAGTCCGTCTATCTAGCTGTCCATCACTTTTCCCATCTTAAGACTTATTAATATTGACCGAACATCAAACAGAAAAAGTGGGAAATATCATTATGTTACAATAAATGGTTTCTAGATAAGACAGTTTCTCTCCTCCTATTTATTAACATTTTGGTTAATTCTTTGAATATTTTTCTCATGTGCTGTCATTTATTATAAATATATAAAAATTAGTACATGCATTTAAAAACCTATTTAATTTCCTTACCTTGTGACTTCTCTGATTCTTTTTTGACAATTCCTAAACGAAATTTTCGGTTTTCAATCATAACAATGTACCAATTAAAATACAAAGGCAATTAACTAAAATTAATTAAAAATTCATAGTTTTGTTACATAAATGAGGTTACTCTAATTTGTACCTTGCATGGCTGAGAGAAGTATCTGTTCATGCTCTGTAAATAAATATCAGAATTTAGACAGCAAAAATGACAAATGAAGATTTCAAGCAATATAAATGCTTAGAAGTCCAATCAAACAACACCAAGAATTTTACTCTCTGGTCTTTAATATACGAAGGTTATACTTTATGATCAACAAATATTTAGAATTTCAATGTATCAAAAAAATCAATACATATTCCAATTCATGTGCTTAAACCAATTATAAAACAGGTTAATTGAAAAAAAAATATGTAAATTTCAGGAAGATATGGTAATAATCTGACATAAACTCAATACACTGATTTACGATTGTTTGACTACAATATAAATTTGTCTTAAAATTGGATTATGTAATTTCTTTAAATACTTTACATAATCATACCTCCAAGATATCTTTCAGTTATATCATTTCATCAAGTATATTTTGAGGTATCTGAATTGAGCGTGTGAAAAAGAAAATACAATTTTTCAGCTTGTCCAAAACGTTTTGTAAGCAAAACATAGAATTAGTTTTAAAATTGCTTACCTTGAAATTTAAAATTTAGCTGGTCATCAATGTATCTCTTGTTATCTATTGAAAATATTACAACACATCGCTTTAAAACATATACAAATACAGAATGTACAAAAAGTGTTTCAAAACAATAAAGCGGATATATATATATATATATATATATATATATAGAGAGAGAGAGAGAGAGAGAGAGAGAGAGAGAGAGAGAGAGAGAGAGTAAGTACTATTAAGTACTATACTATTAATAGCTACCTAGGTATTTTGATTGATTATATATTGTTTAACGTCCGTCTTGAGAATTTTTCACTCATATGGAGACGTCACCGTATGCCAGTAAAGGGCTTCAAATTTTGACCTATACTCGGCACTCAGGGCCATTGAGCAGTGAGGGTTCTTTATCGTGCCAGCGCCTACCGTGACACGGGACCTACGTTTCTAAGGTCATATCCGAAAGACCCGTGACTTTAACTTCTAGTGCCGAGCGCTTGGCGAAGGAACAATCACTACCTTTGTTTACGTCTTAGGTATGACGCGGCGCCGCGATCGAGAATCGAACCCGGGCCTCCCGATCACGAAGCGAACGCTCTACCACTAGGCTACCGTGACCGGTACCTAGGTATCTAAAGCTACCCAAAGTAGCTATTTTTACCTACACTCTGCTTAACCTGCATTTTGTGGCCAATTACAGGAACGGCGCAACATGGTGAGCACAAAATTTCTTGATACAGTCACACTGATGATGAATATGACAAAAATGTGGCCAAAAAATGAAAACTTCGTATATTATCAATTTTGAATAGAAACTTGTTAAATTGCCGATTTCGGAAGTAATCATTTTTAGCCAAAATTTTGTTGTATTCATTATAGTGTGACTGCATCAAAAGATATGGTATTCACCATGATGCGCCGTTTTGTCTTTTGGTCGCAAAATGCAGAAATTATATAAGGTAGGAAAAATAGCTACTTTGGGTAGCTTTAAATACCTAGGTAGCTATTAATAGCTACGTAGGTAGAAATAGTCTTTGGACTGGACCTGGTTAAGATGATTATCTTTGCTTCTGTAATGTACAGTACCGACCAGACCCAACCTGACACCAAAGCAGTCCCAGAAAGCAGTCCCCAGGACTGCTTTTGGACCGCTGTGGGACTGCTCTTGGACCGCTATGGGACTGCTCTGGGACTGCTATGAAAAGCCATCCCAGCAGTCCCAGCTTACCCTGGGACTGCTTTGTTCACTCATGTGTAAAAAAGGTTCTGAGTGACATGATAGCTCCGCCCCCGTGTGTATTCTGAATTTGCAGGCTCCCTGTTGTTTTGTTTACTTGCAGCAGAAATGTGTTTAAACTGTTTAATAAGTAAGGATGTCTTAAATTCTTTTAATAAGTGGAGATTATTATAGTTAATTGATATTTTCAAAGACTGTATACTTACACAAAATCATGTGTATTTAGAATAAATAAAAAAATAAAGAAAGAAAAAATTCATGAAAAAAATTTTATCCCTAAAATTAAACTACAAGTTTATGAGAAAAGAAATAGCTACATGTTGTTTTTTTTTTTAAATTTTTTAACGTTAAATTCTAATATGTACTTTAAATCTATTTACATTTAAATTAAATTACATTAATTTGATACTATTTCAAAATAATCGTTACAGTTAGATATAAGATTTATTTTATTAAAAATGCTACACATTTTATAAGGAACACGCTAAAAAAGTATTCCATGTAACCCTTAAATAAAACCAAACAGTTTATTAAATGACCATGATATAAAATTATGCCACCATTCTCCCGTAACATAAACTATGTGAATAATCATTGGGGAGTTTATGAATTACCGGTAGCTTTCAATTAATGAACAAGTTATTAAAAGAGTATATCTATTTTTAAAAATAAAATGAAAATACTGTGAATTGTGATTTATTTCTCTTTTGTTTTGCTAGTGTTTACCTGGCCGATAAATGTTTATAACATGGTATCAATGCCCATTGTTTCAATCGCCTTTAGGCAGAAAAATCGATAGATGTTATTTGGGTATTTTATAAGTGTTACACATCATTGAACATGCTGGTAAACAATGATCCTAATTTCAATTTATTCGAAAAAAATGTTATAAATGAAATGTGTATACATTTCTTTGGGGATTCATTAATTTTGAACACAATCTGAAGCTTCCATTCTGGTGATTTACAGATGTACACTCTAACATTTACAAATAAAACACTTAAAACTGAGTTTTATAGAACTAAGCATTAACGATAATCAAATTGACATGTCAGTAAAATAATCATGACTGAAAAATAATACCTGGCAAATCACAGATAGAATAAGTAATATACCCAAAAATTGTGATTAAATATTCATGTTGAGTGTAATTCATATATGTACATGTAAGTCTGAAATCCTTCTTTCTCCAATAAATATTATAATTATTTCAATTTTTATGCGTGTACATATTCTGTTCATAAATGACCCTCGCGTACATGTAAGGATTCCTGGCATACTACCCATATTCAATTTCTAATGCCTTTTATAGTTCGATTGTTTATTGGAAATCTCATTCCCGAGTTAGCTCAGCTCATTAAATTAATAAACCCCGCCCACTGGGACTGCTCTCTTGGACCGCTGGGACTGCTGTGGGACTGCTCTGGGACCGCTGTGGGACTGCTCTGGGACCGCTCAGGGACTGCCGTGGGACTGTTTTGTGTCAGGTTGGGTCTGATTGGTACTGTAATGATCATTAAAGAGGCACAGATGCGATTTCTTTTCCTTGTGAAGATATGCTTCATATAAATATTTAGGGGCTACCCCTACAAGTTCTTAATGGGTCCGTTTTACAAAAAATCAAAGTATGAATATTATGAAGAGCATTATTCTGACCATCTTTTGTTCAATATTGCTAATAACAATATTCCCCTTTATTAGATATAAAGCGTCAAAGATTTGACATTCTGGCCCCTTGTGGCCCCTAATTATGGAACATATGATCAAAATTTTATCAAATATTGCTGCAAATCGTTAAAATGAATACTTTTGCTTCAATCATGAACAACGAAATATTGATCATTAGAGAGTTATAAATAAAAGACTTATGGACCCTCTGAGTCTCTAATTTTAAGTTGTCAGCCCCTTTTCTTGATACCAAACGGAAAGGTCTTGTGATTTTGAAGATTTTTTGTTCACCTCTTATTCAGAGATTTCTATTCGTTGTTGAGATATGTTAAATGGAAATAATTAGGGGTCATCCCTACAAGTCCTTAATGGGGCCGTTTTAGAAAAAACTGAAAGTATGCGCATTGTTTAGAACATTATTCTGATCATCTTTTGTTCAATATCGCTAATCAAAATATTCCCCCATTTCGAGATATAAAGCATCAAAGATAAAGTATTCTGGCCCCTTGTGACCCCTAATTACGTGTGATATGATCAAAATTTTTCAATATATTGTTGCAAGTTGCTCTTATGAATATCTTTGTTTCTATAATGTATCACAAAATATTGATCAATAAAGAGATATAAATGAAAAATTTTTGGCCTTTCTGAGCCCCTAATTTGTAAGGTCAGCCCGTTTTTCTCGATATCGAATGAATCGTCTTGTGATTTAAAAGACTTTTTGTTCAACAACTATTCAGAGATTTCTTATTGTTATTGAGATATGCTGAATGGAATTATTTAGGGGCCACCCCTACAAGTCCTTAATGGGGCCATTTTACAAAAATTCAAAGAATGCATATTGCTAATAACATTATTCTTAACATCTTTTGTACAAAATGTTTTATCAAAATTTTATACATGTGTACTATATTGTTGCAAATCGTCTAAAATTGAAAAATAACAAAAGATCGAGCAGAAAAATGATAAAATGTTTTGGACATACGGGGGATCGAACCCAGGTCGCCTGCGTGACAATCTAACGCGCTCACCATTAAGCCGTTGGGATCACCGCTTCGAATTTTAAAATGCTAATATCTCGAGATCGGCTTTTTCGATTTTCAAACAAATCACATAATTCGCTTCTGCAAAACAGCCTTTATTAATATCAAAAACAAAAAAAAATTAAAAAAACAACATTTGAAAAATTGCGACAGGAAGCATTGACAACTCACGGAAAGGTGATTCTGCAAACCTATAAATGATGAACTATCATCTCTAATAAGTTTCCAGTTCATATTTTTTGCTACTAAGTTGCGACAAAATTGCATTTTAAAATCACTAAATCTCACGAACGGAAGTGACGTCATCGACAAAAAAATCCAATAAGGTTCAGATCAGTACCTATCAGATGTGAAAGTTTCATGAGAATCGGCCCAATTGTTTTCGAGAAATCGCGTGCACGAAATCGGTAAGAATAGGGAAAAAGAAACCGAAAAATAACAAGATGGTCTACCGTTGGAGACGGAAGACCTTAATTAAGCGCCAATCAAATATTTTAGATGGTATGGCGACTAATGAATTACCTTGTTCAATTAATGACGTCAAAAGGCTTTTAATAATGTCAGAAAGGCAATGATAGGTCATAGAGACAATAATGCAAGCTATGCTTGATGGATTATAGATACTGTAGATCACTTAATTTTCGCGACACTTTATTTTCGCGAGAAAGTAATTGACTCTTGATTAGCGAGACAAAATTTTCGCGAATTGTTGTTATTGCTTTATTTAATCTTAAGGAATCAATTATACGCGAGAATTAAATTTTCGCGAGCAGTCTATCTCGCGTAATTACGCGAAAATAAAGTTCTCGCGAATAAAAAGTGATTTACAGTACATGTATTAAAGTTGTTTTCAATTGTGATTGGTCTGATGATTGGAGCAGTTAAACGAACATTAACGAGAGTGAAAGCTTTTCATTGGGACTTCATAATAGATCGAAGCAAAAACACAATATCCTATGACATATTTTATAACAAAATCAAACAAAATAAGACATACAAAACCAAAACATTGCACAAATTGCACGAGAATGGGAATAATTATCTTCTTATTCGGTATTTGCGATTATTATTGCTGATTTAACGGTCACAAATCTTTTGAAGACACTGCTTCTGCGTCGCCGGTAAAACTCAATTCAATCAACATAAAGAACATAATTATTCCCTAAATTTTGACGTTCATCTTGTCAAAAGATCTGCTAACAATTTCAATATCATGCGTAGATCTTTGTGAATTTTTTTCACACACCATGAAAATGAAAAAAGAAGGCTTGGAACATATCCTTTTATTCTTTAAAGTAGTCATTGCTAAATTAGTGTCATTCAAATCTAGCTTATGAAAATATAGACAATAACATCTCCTTGGAAATCAGAATTCTGATAGGAGAAGATTAATTTATTTCTCGGATTATTTGTAAATTACTTCCTTTCTGTAATGATAGACAAATTGAAGTAAAATCAAACTTTGGTGTTTACTATCTAAACAAACTAAACAAAATCATCAATATAACACATACCAGGAACTACAAATAAGCAGAATAATATACGTTTATTGCCTCCAAGCATAGATCATAAACAAAACAAAATTTTGAGCAAAAATTCAATATAAATCGGAAAAAAAACTGGATCTGAAAAGCAGTTGCAAACATCAACATGATGCAGCATGAAGAAGAGACGCTATGGAGCAACTAAAGAAAATTCAATAATTTAGAGAATCAATCATCGGAAAGGGAGCAGCAACTTAAAGAGCAATTGTAGTTTATATTGGAGAGTAAATCGTTGAAAGAGAAGATATATCATTATGATTAACATTTGAAAATATGTTCTTTAGATGAATGCAATAAAGAACAAATATCATTAATTCCACTGAAATAATCAATGGTCAGAGGTCATAGCGTGGACAAATAATACAGTGCGATGGTTCGAATGCTCTCAAATATAAGTATAGGTAATAAACAACAAAGTGAAATAGTTTACTTGGGAATGAACTTGGTTTGTACGTAATGAGATCTACAGAGAAACCTTCCGGTCTTCACAAGATTTTATCACGTGACCAATGAAGTTCACTTCTTACCTTTTTTCCTATTATTACTTGTTTTTATCTCCGAAATAAAACAAAAAAACTCTACTATAAATATCAAATATAATTCCAAAATTGTAATAATTCATATTGGATTTAAAAGATAAATGTATCTATGCCATGAATTTTACATTCACTATTTATTTCTTTAGAGTTGCAATACTTACCATGTATCCGTTGATAAAGTAGTGTATTGGTTTTTTCAACTCTGTTAATTTTCACTACAATTATTTATATATCATTATAAATGTGAAGAAAACGAACTGTGATCCATCTAAAAAAAAAATATGTAGAGGTTACAAATTTGTGAAGAAGGCATAAAAATAGCCACTGGACATCCGATGCCCAGGAAGAGTGTTATTATCGAAGAAGCAGCTGTCTATAATATCAAAAGGTTATTTTTAAACATAGCTAGGGATAATTGTGGTTTTAATGTTCAGAAATATATGTCTTGCTGTTTCTGATTTCTGAAAAATGGCGATTTTGAATTTTTAAAAGATCCTTTGAGTTTTTGAGAATTCATATCTGTTTTACAATTATACTTCTAAAATATGGTGTAGCTCAGTTTGTCTGAATGCTGTACTTTATAGGCATTATGTTTTTGTCAGGAGTAAAAATACTGGCTTGGAAAGAACATTTGTCTTTTTTTCATTAATTCGGGAATCTAGTAAAGGTTAGATAGATTGAACAAAACTTCTTCTGGATGATAAAAGAATTAGAACACTTATAGTATACCATTATCTGTAAATATGGCAATAAAATAGGTGCAGCAGAAGGCGGTGTACAATATATATCAAACTGCAGTTAACAGTAGGTCGCTTTTACAATAACGGTTAAAATCGGAAATGTTACAACATTAGAAATGATTCACTCGAAGCGAAAATTTCATGAACTGAACCAAAGTGTAAGAAAATATATTGGCACGATACAACATTAGACTTAATAATGCAAGTTTCTGGTCACAGAAGGCACTCATACTAGTGCTTTTTGTTAGCAAAAACTAATAAATTTTCCAAGAGTCAGGAAGATTACAGAGTGTACATAAACAACCCAATCATAAAAACTATATAACGTAACCCTAATCACTCGATCGGATGTGTTTTGTTGTAGCGAGTGGGAAATTAGGGATTATTTACATTCTACATTGCAACGGGAAGAAAAATAACTGCTCATGCGCAATCACGTGATTCTGGGGACCGGTGTACTAGAAACTTCCAATGTTATTAGAAGAATTTCATCTTAAGAAAGTAAATTGTGAGTATAAGTTTGATTACAAAACGTGGAATTGACTGCCGGGTACCATGTTTTCTTAGATACAGTACAAATACAATTATCTGTAAACGTTATCTGAAAAATACTATTATCTTTTAAAAGATGCATACTCCTCCATGAAACCTGACCCCACCTCCGATGTTTTGGAAGTCTGTGTTTGCTCTGCTCCTATTTTGTATTGTTTAATTGACTTTTGATAAATAACTGAAGTGTTTCAAAAGTGTTCCACATTAGATAAAATTAGTAATTTTTAAAGTCCCAATCTGTATTATATTTGCGTGAGAGTTCTGATGTTTTTAGATGTCTTTTTTTTTTTTTGCTCTGCCCCAAACGTGTATTGTTTCCGTGATCTTTTGAAATTGATAAGTGTTCGTTGTCTTCATGCTTTATTTATGAGATTAATCCATTCAACATTCATCATATAGTAGCACAATACTCTCTCAAATATATTATATCATATATATCTTATCATTATTGTATCAAAATTAAATGTACCTATATGTAAATCTAAACTTTAAAATCGTTTAACATATAGAATACAACATAAGAGAAAGCATGAGAAAACTTACTTTTCTTGAGAGCTAATTGGTCTGGAACACAATAACAATGATTTATTATCTTCCTTGATAAAATGTTATTTGCTATATCCGATGAGATATCGAATTTATATATCTGTTTACAGTAGATATCTTAAGATATAATCTATGTACTGTATATAGTGTTTCTTTAAAATGGTAACTGTTTAACAATGTTTAATATGATTTAAAAATATCTTACTGTCAGCTCTACATGTAGTTCTCTTTAGCTTTTTAATCTCCTCTGAAAAAAAATAAATTGAATGCCAATGAATACATGGATGATTCCCTAAGAACAAATCGAGATTTGGTACTTTTGAAATTAATGAATTTTTGAATTGCTCAAAACAGTTTCATAAAACCGTGTTTCTAATGGTCACATTTTTCTAATATTTCAAATATCTTACTTTTCTTGACAGCTATTTTACCTGCAAAATAAAATTTACTCAAACACATTTATTTGAATATTTGATAAAAAAAAAATTGTAACCTATTCTTAAACACTAATATCAAACCACGTCTGATTTCTCACTTTTGATTTAAAAGTCCAGAAGATATTCTCTCCAATTTTATTTTCAAAATTATGTCAGAATAACATTCAGCTATATAGAATATGAAATATATTGTTGGAACTTTTTTTCAGAGAAAATATGAGTTTAACGATCAAAATTGGTCAGAGTATTTATGTAAACAATAAATATAACTCACGTTTTGCTGTCCTGGTCTCACTTTCAAGACATTCAATTTTCTCTGTATGAATTAAGTAATTTCAAGTCTCATTAAATACTTTGCAAAAGAATACGCTATCACCATAAAATAAATAAATGATTAATTAATTAATAAAAGTACATTGTATGTTTTAATAATCTGTAGCATTTCTTTATTACCTATATACACTGTACGACAAGTCAGTTCAAAAAAGTAAAGTTTACTTTCAATTTATTCTTATACTTCTGTTTACGCGAATCTCTACATTACTAATTAATTTAATTGAAACGTACCTTGTTTTATCTGCATATTTTCTGTCAAGACAATTAATGCACTCAGATTCAGAAGAAACACAAATAATTTTTTTAAATTTTACTTTAGATTTACTAAAAAAGCTAAAGATATACATGTAATAATGAAAAGTAATATAAAATTCTTATTAATACCTTGAAATTTCTTGAATTCCGCAACATACAGTTTTGATCTGCCTGGGTTAAGATCACAAGATAATAACTCGTTAACGCCTCTCTCATACATGTCCCCGCCGACACACTGTTTTTCAATTTCTATAATGGCGTCTTTCAATTCGTCCCAGTGCTCTTGAAACATTATGTCATCCACAGCAGCAGTGACAGAATGAGCGGAGATTAAATTTCTTTGGATTCTGATCCTTTCTATACAGGCCGATAATCTTTTATCACCATTTAGAGGAGGATTACCCCAACCTGCTCGATGTTTTGGTATGTTACAGATATTCCTCAATATAATATACAATACAGAGATGTCCAAGTCTTTAGCAGTCAATGTTACTGAACCGGACGCCGGATAGATCTGTTCTTTCTGTTGAGCGTTCATGATTCTCTCCAGCCTTGTGCTATTGTTGTCCAGCTCTGACCTCAGGTCAGCTGGTTTGATGTAACGACTTAGAATGTCCCTGAACAAGTCGCTACAGATTGTCATGATCAGCTGACACAGTCGGGAGAAATTCTCTGTTGCCTTCCTTTGATTGAAGTAAGGAGCTGTAGACGGCCCAGGAACGTCACCCATTACTCTACTCAAATAATAAAACAAAGTGTGTGACGAACTTTTGTTATAATATATTAATAAATTGTTTAAGCGAATACTCAAAAAAAATTTTGATTTGACTCTGCTTTGCATAATTCTCCTCTATGAGCCTCTATATTAGCGTCAGACACAATCCTTCTAGTGTATATTGTTTTAAAATTTCGCCTGTAAAGACTTTTTCTTCATCGTCATGGTGATTTACTCAGCCGCGAAAAGTAACACACACACACACATACAAATATATAAAGCACTAAAAATGACCAACGACACTAACAGTAAAAATTGTCAAATTTTCGGGACGCCCTGTCCCTTCCTCAGGAGAAAGAAAAAAGTTAAAAAGTCATAAGAACAAAGGAAAAAGAGAAACAAAAACAACTAGCACTACTACTAAACTACTAAACACTAGATATTTACATACCTTAATTATATGTTAAATTGGAAATTTTTAAGAACACCAATAAAGCATAATTAATCAAATAAAACTCTGGCAGGGCGAATTTAAAACGGGGCAAAATTGTCCACAAGTGTGAAAGGACGAAATTAACACGGGTTGAGAAAATACCCCGTATACAGTATTTATTTAAAATCTTATGCATGAAAAAAAAAACACTTGCTGTGGCCTTCAATTCGACTTTCAGATATATCGACGACGTATTGTCAATTAACAATGGTGATTTCTATTCCTATGTCGATATGATATATCCAGAAGAGCTTGAGATTTAAGACACGACAGGGTCAGACACATCTATTTCATACTTGGATATTTTAATTGAAAAAGACGTTAATGGCCCTTGTCATGGACGGCGGGCTTTTATGGTCGCTCTGAGTATATTACATTTATTTGATTATTTTTCATATTCTGGAGCTCTGTATGCTGTTTGAATTGTGTGATTAGTAGTATGATTAGAAGTGTGGTTTGTATGCCGCAAATAAATACAACGAACTGTGAGTATCAAATTATAATATTTTGAACATTGAAAATCAAAACGGCAGCAAGTAGTAAATCCAACTGAACACTACTCAGCCCTACTCAGTATGCAGAAGGTACAAAGAAATCTGTCGATACACTTTCCGACAAAATTTTACAAGGGTATAACTTATGAAGATGTACTAGACGGGGTATATAAAAGCAATTCAGATTACAAAAAAGGAGTGTTTTGTAACTCTAAAAAATGAACAAACAAAAGAAAAACTATTAATGTCTGTTGTAACGGTTAAAATCTAACAGTTTCATTGTATGAGGTTGACAAACAAATCACGAATGTGACAATCAAGGATGCCCCAAATGAACTAACATACACTTTCATAACTACTAATATGATGCAGTATGGTCAGGTAGTAGCAGGCAGCATCAAGCATTGCACTATTAAAAATACGTCAATTTAAAACGGCACATCTTACTTGCAAATATTAAACTGTGCACCTACTCTACCAAACAGAACAAAATTTGGGGATCACGAAGTCAGAATCTTTGCGGATAATAATCCCACGATATGCCCATATTGCGGAAAATCTTATCACCCCTCGTACAAATGCCTAAACAAACCCACGAACAAAACAATCTGCTTTTAATTGTAACAAACAAGGCCATTTAGCCAAACACTGTGAAAATGTTGGTATCGTAAAGGAGAGGGCCATATAGAGGAAAACTGTGAGTAATTTTCAGAAAAAATGGTACAAAAGTATGATAAATATGCCGCAGATATCAATGAAGGCAGAGAGGCTTTAAACGATTGATAGATTGTATATTGTTTAACGCTGAGTCGGCAATTTTTCTGCCATATTTCGGCGGACTATTGGGTGAATGGATCAGTATATTTTTTGGTTTCTCTGGCGGCCCCCAGTGAGCCTACTCTTTTTCGAACTCCAGAGAAACGATCTTCAACGTGCCAAGGGGGTTGTCATCCTTGATACGGGGCACCATTTTACGTCCCATCCGACGGACTTAAATATTCTTAAAAATATATAAACTCTCAAAAAATAGAGTATAAACTGTTTATGAAATAGATTCATATATCTTAATGTATTTCCCATTAAAATTACTTTCAAAATTTTATTCTAATTTTGCTATAATAATCCGTTTCTTGTAGATATTCTTAAATGTTGTGAACATTGTCACGTGGTCAAGCTGGCTATCTCCAAGAATCACACAAGTTCAATAAGTTTAATAAATTTATTTACAAAAAAAAAAATAATAATGATAATAATAATAACAATAACAAAGATCTCACACAAACTACCGCACACAAATTCATACCCCCTTTCTCACTACTAAACAATTAAACAAAGAAAAAAAAACAATTGGTAATCAACAATTACCCAATTAACAAATTCATTAATCAGCCAATCACCCCGGGTATCTAATTCAGTTATTAATGCCAAACATGATCACAGATCATAGATCATCCTCGTCATCATCACGATCATCATCATCAACATCATCCTCATCCTCGATCCAGGAATGAAATAAAAAGTTTGCCTTTTCTTATAAAGCGCTAACTCAAATTTTCTTGGATAGACTTATCTGTTATCCGTTCACCAACAAAAATTTGGATCCACGCAGAGCACTCTTCCGGGCCTTAGTCCCTGGAACCTTTCGCCGTCACAATGATCCCCTCAGCTCAGTCTATGTATCAAGCACAGGTCATACCAATATCCATGACGCTACAATGATGCATATTTATAAATCACATGTTTCACTACACATGTTTGGCAATACCACTATATATGTTTGGCTATTCATTCTCAATATAAAAATAATAATCAAAAAAATATTAAGTGTAATGGTAACCAGTTAACAAAAGTCAAAACAATTTATTGCCAATATGGCGCACCTTACTTTCAACTTCCGGTCATTGACTTTCGCCCAGACATTTAAACCAAAATTTAAATGGACAAAATATTCTACACAAAGTAACAAAACTGAGTACAAGAAAATAGCGAACATTTAACAATGAGAACTTTAAACGTTATCGATATAATACAACAGCCACTCGAACACTCTCGCTAACCGGCACACCTGAGTGAACAACAGGTAAAATGGTGAGAGCTGGCCAAGTTAAGAAATAAAAACGAAGTTGTACTCAATAATAAATTTGCCTTTACAATAAAAACTATATACAAAGCAAATAATATCATAATATCATAAGTAAATACTTACCACGGACCTGTCTCCGTGCCAGTGTCAAGATAAAGCTTGTATGGCTACTAACATATACTAGCTGCTTAAAAAAAACGTGTCTGCAGCTACGTTTCTCTGCCGGGAATGACCAGGCCTCAATTGTTCTGGTCGGCTTAGCTATCTTGCAAGGACTTATGGGTAAAATAGGCATAGGGACAAAACGCGGGAAATACAAATTATAAACGCAAGTGCAATAGTGATTGTTACAAACATGAACATTTGTAAAAAGTTCATACATTGTTTTTAAACTTCCAAAAAGTGTACTTCGAATAGGTGTAAAATCGGAAAATCTAAAAGTATGTGATTTATAGTTATCGGGCAGTCACAGGATATACACTCTGGCTGTGACTCCCGATTCAATAAATATTCATGCGTAATTTTTGAATGCCCAATGCGTATTCTTGATATAATTACTTCGTCCTGACGTTTCCGACCGAAGTGAGGCGATTTGTTAACTTTGTTTTCAATAGCGTAAAGCTTACTTTCGTCACAAAAATTCCAATAAATTTGCCAAAGAGAATTAACATAAATTTTAACGAGGTATTTCAAATCAGTGTAAGGAATTTTGAATAAAGTAATTTCAAGTTAGAATTCATTTTTGGCAGCACTGTCAGCTCTAGTATTTCCAGGGATTCCGACATGACTCGGAATCCAACAAAAGTTTACTGTTTTACCTTTTTGCGCCAAATGATAATATTGAATTAAAATATCTAAAATGTAAGGTTGATCAATATATTTATTTTGTATAGATTGTAAGCAAGAGAGCGAGTCCGAAAATATTATGAATATTTTTTCGCTAGAATATTTTATATATTCAAATGCAAGTTGAATGGCCTTTGCTTCTGCGGTAAAGTTTGTTGCTTCATTTGGGAGCCGTGTAGAGAAAACACTGTCTTCCATCACGGCAGCTGATGCTTCTTTATTTTTATCCTTTGAACCATCTGTATATATCTCGACTGTTGGACCAAAAGAATGTTTTATTTCAGCATATTTTTGTTTAAAAACACGACAATTTGTGTCCGATTTCTTAAATTCAGTTAAAGATAAATATACAGTTGGATTTATTAATTAATTGCCATGGCGGTATTTCTGAAAAATTAGAAGGTTTCATAACACCCAAAGGTAGGCTTAAAACGAAGATGACCAACGAAGCGAAACTGACGTTACGGAATCAAACACGCATGACGATCAGATCAATACCGTTATTCTTGGGTGTCGAACTGCAAGCGCATTAGAAAGCTTCGGCCAAATATCTTAAACGCCTCGGTCTCTGGGTCATCCTACGAAAACGTGTCACAATTACTGGAATAAGCTAAGAAAAGATTAGACGAAACTACACCTGAAAACGTAATCGTTGATTTATAGGAACAAATGATGTTACCAGATGTCAAGACGAAATCGGGGATTTAACTGACAATGTTATGATGGGTCTTAACAAGATTCAGGAAACTTTCCCCGAGGCTCGAATTGCAGTATGCACAGTCATACCCAGGAAAGGAAAAAGCGCCGTGATTAAAAAAATGAACGACGACACTTGGCATATGAATAAATTCCTTGGAAAATTGTGGGAAAAAATAAATTACTATCGGTGATGGACGTGTGCAGTTCATTCATAAATGACCGAGGGTTTGCTACTAGAGCACTGTATGACAGCAATGACCCCAGCGGAGTTCATGTCAGTAGCGAAGGAGACGAGAAAATTGCTGATATTTTCTGTAATTACAATTGATCCGCAAACGGTCCTCCTCAAGCCTCAAGCTTTACAGAGCGGAAGTTAAGTTCAAATACCCCAGCTTCGACCGAAAAGCAGGGTAAAATCCAAACGATGTAAACTCTAAATAACAGAATTGACCAATATGACTTTTGTTATGAC